TCCCCCCCCCTCTCTGCCTGCCTCTCTGCCTGCCTGTGATCTCTGTCTGTCAAATAAATAAATAAAATCTTAAAAAAAAGAAAAGAAAAGAAAAGAAAGAGACAAATAAGGACATTATATAATAAGATAGGGGACAATCCAACAAGAAGATATAATTGTAAATATTTATGCACCCAACATGGGGGGACCCAAATACATAAAATAGTTAATAACAAAAATAAAGGACCCAATATATAATACAATAATAAAAGAGCACTTTAATACCCCACTTACATCAATGGACAGATCATTTAAACAGAAAATCAACAAGGAAACAATGACTTTGAAAGACACTCTGGACCAGATGGATTTAATAGATATATTCAGAACATTCCAACCTAAAACAGGAGAACATGCACTCTTTTCAGGCATATATGGAACATCCTCCAGAATAGATCACATACTAAGCAACAAAACAATCCTTGACAAATTCAGGAAGACTAAAGTCATATGATGCATCTTTTCCTATCACAACGCTATTAAACTTGAAATCAACCACAAGAAAAAATTTGGAAAGCTCACAAATACAGTGAGGTTAAATAACATGCTAATAAGCAAGAATGGGTCAAACAGGAAATAAAAAGAGGAAATTTAAAAAGTACATAGAAACAAGTGAAAATGAAAACATAAGGTCCAAAACGTTTGGGAGGCAGCAAAAGAAGTTCTAAAAGGGAAGTTTACATCAATTTGGCCTACCTCAAGAAGCAAGAAAAATCTCAAGTAAACAATCTACTCTTACACTCAAAAGAGCTAGAAAAAAGAACAAAAAACACCTAAAAGCAGCAGGAAGGAAATAAACAAGATTAGGGCAGAAATAAATGATAAAGAAATTTTAAAAACAATAGAACAGATCAATGAAACCAGCACCCGGTTCTTTGGAAAAATCAATAAAACTGATAAACCTCTAGCCAGACTTATCAAGGAAAAAAGAAAAAGGACTCAAATAGATAAAATCACAAATGAAAGAGGAGAATCAACCACCACCACAACAAAAACACAAACAATTGTAAGAGATTATTATAAAAACTATCTGCCAACAAATTGGACAACTGGAAGTAATGGATATATTACTAGAAAATACAAACTACCAAAACTGAATCAAAAGAAATTGAAATTTTGAGTAGACAGAGAACCAGCAAAGAAATCGAATCAGTAGTGAAAAAACTCCCAACAAACAAAAGTCTTATCGATACATCACATCAATAAGAAGATAAGAATCATATGATCATTTCAATTGACATACAAAAAGCATCTTACAATGTACAGTATCTATTCATGATTAAAACCCTCAACAAAGTAGGTTTAGAGGGAACATAACTCAACATAATAAAGGCCATATATGAAAAACCCACAGCTAACATCATCCTGAATGAGGAAAAACTGAGACTTTCCCTAAGGTCGGGAATAAGACATGATGTCCACTTTCTTCACTTTTATTCAACATCGTACTAGAACTACTCACCTCAGCAATCAGACAACAACAAAAATAAAAGGCATCCAAACTGGTAAAGAAGAAGCAAAACTTCCACTTTTTGCAGGTGACATATTATATAGAAAACCCGAAAGACTCCACCAAAAAACTACTAAAACTGCTAAATGAATTAAGTAAAGTTGCAGGATACAAAATCAATGTACAGAAATCTGTTTCATTTTGAAACATCACTTCAGAAGCAGCACAAAGAGAAATTAAGAAAACAATCCCATTTACAATTGCACCAAAAATAAGAAGACATCTAGGAATAAACCTAACCAAAGAGGAGAGAAAGACCTGTACTCTGAAAAAAATAAAACACTGATGAAAGAAACTGAAGATGATACAAAGAAATACAAAGATATTCCAGCTCATGGATTGGAAAAACAAATATGATTAAAAATGTCTATACTACTGGGCACCTGGGTCGCTCAGTGGGTTAAGCCTCTGCCTTCGGCTCAGGTCATGATCTCAGGGTCTTGGGATCAAGCCCTGCATCGGGCTCTCTTCCCCCCATCTCTGCCTGCCTCTCTGTCCACTTATGATCTCTCTCTGTCAAATAAATAAATAAAAAATCTTAAAAAAAAAAAGTACTTTTTTTTACTCAAAGCAATCTACACATTTAATGCAATCCCTATCAAAATACCAACAACATTTTTCAGAGAGGTAGAACAAACAATCCTAAAATTTGTATGGGATCACAAAAGACCGCAAATAGCCAAAGCAATCTTGAGAAAGAAAAGCAAAGCCAGAGGGATCAAAATTCCAGACTTCAAGTTATATTACAAAGCCATAATAATCAAAACAGTATGGTACTGGCACAAAAATAGACATGTTGATCAATAGAACAAAACAGAAAATCCAGAGATAAAATCACAATTATATGGTCACAACACATGCAAAATACATACAGCGCACACACACACACACACACACACACACACACACACACACACACAAAATCATGCAAACAGTAACCAAAAGAAAGTTGGAGTAGCTGTATTACTATCAGACAAAACTGACTTTAATGCAAAAGCAAATATATAATCCAAACTTTTGTTTTGGAAATCTGTCAAAGCCTTTTTGAAATTGAAGTATTTTTCTTCTTTACCCATTTATTTGCTGCTACAAATTCTAAGAATGAATAAGGTTTTACTGCCACTTACACGAAAACATCACCTTCTGTTAAATCATGCTTCCTTACACATTCAAATTTCTATTCTTGCTGTATAGCACACTATTCTACTTTTGAACATTTTACCAATCTACATTATATATACATATAATGTGTGTGTGTATATATATATATACACACATACACAGTGTATGTAGGTATATATATATATTGTATGTATATCTATATACATACCATATAGTATACATACTACAAACATCACATATTATATAGAGAGAGTGTGTATGCATAAATACATGATGTTGTATATATAGAGAGAGTGTGTGTGTCTGTATGTAATTATATATACATATACTTTTTTTAAGTAGACTTAAAAAAGAAAGCCCAATGTGGGGCTCAACCTCACAACCATGAGATCAAGGCCTGAGCCAAGATCAAGAGCCAGACACAACTTATTGAGCCACCCAGGTGCCCCCAACTGCATTACAATATATATATTTCCCCTTGAGTTGAGATTTATAGATATTAAGTTAGAGAAAAAGCACACAGAATTTAAGAAAGCTTTTAATATTTCTTTTTTTTTAAAGATTTTATTTATTTATTTGACAAAGAGAGATCATAAGTAGACGGAGAGGCAGGCAGAGAGAGAGAGAGAGGGAAGCAGGCTCCCCGCTGAGCAGAGAGCCCGATGTGGGACTCGATCCCAGGACCCTGAGATCATGACCCGAGCCGAAGGCAGCAGCTTAACCCACTGAGCCACCCAGGCATCCCAAGAAAGCTCTTAATATTTCTTAAAGAACTTCTGTAAAACCTTAATCAAATATGTGTTTTTCATCTAATGAACTATTGATTTTCGTTAGGAATGACATAATCTCCTTTTCCAAGAACCTTAAAACCCTATATCAAAACATATGTGTCCAGAGAATTAATAAGAGGTAGAAATTAAGAAATGTTAAAAAAAAACCTCTAGAATCTACAAAGACTAGTGTTTGTCTTAGAAAGAAGTTATTTTTCTAAAAGATAGAAAGAAGCAAAAATGTACATAATACTTGGCAGATTTAAAAGGCATTCTCTATATATTATATTATTTGATCCTTTCAAAACCTTTGTGAGGGCGCCTGGGTGGCTCAGTTGGTTAAGCCACTGCCTTCGGCTCAGGTCATGATCCCCGGGTCCCGGGATCTGACATCTAGCTTCCCCTGCTCATGGGGAGCCTGCTAAAAAGACAAAAACAAAAACAAAACAACAACAACAAAAAACCTTTGTGAGATGGCAGAGTAAGTGCTGTTTCCCCCAATTTACACATTAAGAATCAATGCTCAGTAGAGACCAAGTGAATCCCAGGCAAGATGGTTTATAAGTTTCAGAGTCAGGCTCTTCTGATTTGCTCTTGCTCTTTCTTTAATCCCACAATGCCACTAGAGATATAACGGTAAGGCACAATTACATTCTTACTGTTTTCTAACTAACGAAGTAATAATAGTGAGAACTACAGAGAAAGAATATATAGGTGGCTGAATCAGATTCTTATAGGGATCTTCAATGGTATAAAACTATGGTGAGAGAGCACCCATTTATTCATCTGCACTGCTACTCCTAGACACTTTCAAAAATTAGTTCACTACCCAGAGGTGTTTCTTTTTTATTTCTAAAAAGGAAATGGAAAAGAGGTAGAAGGATGATTAAAGCAGTAGGAGCCTGTTACAAGGCTTTTTTTTTAAAAACTCTGAACCTTTGCAAAATTATTTTTTTATTAATGTCTTTCGGTATTATATTTTAACCTATCCTAAAAATACAGGCCAACTGTCAGAGAACAGTGAGTAAAATGTACAGGCATTCTTACTGAGGTCATTTTCAGTAAAGAGAGCTTAGACTATATCATGATTTTAAAATAGTCTGGAAATAAATAGTTCATATACAAATGTCATTCAAACACATGGTCATATCAAGTTAACATTTTTTACAGGCTAATTTCCCTTCTTCATAGAGGGGTGAGCAGTGAAATAATTTTTTCAAAAGAATAAAAAATAATCCTTAAGAAATTACATCAAATAAAATGTCATGATGTATGATGAATTGTGTTAACAACCTATTAGCAACATAAACTACCTTAATGCTTTTAAAACAAAGCATTGTTACAGAAAGAAATTTCTCAACTTAAAGAATTCATATTTATTCTTAAACAACTTATTTTTACATTGACTTACAATCTTTTTCAGAATAACTTACTTTTTTTTTTTTTTTAAAGATTTTATTTTTAGGTAATCTCTACACCCAGCATGGGGCTCGAACTTCCAAACCTGAGATCAAGATCACATACTCTACTGACCGAGCCAGCGAGATGCCCCAACTTACCATTCTTTAATAGTTACTTCTCTAATACCTTCTCCGATGTCTGAGAGTTTGAACTGAACAATCTGCCCCTGCAGAGCTTCAAAGACAAATGAGAAATGGTCTCATTAAATACATAATATATTCCTAATAGATGCTTTCACAACTAAATGAGAGGCAGAACCTATTGCATTTTACAGATAAAAAAGTATTTAATAATTTTTGAAAGCATAAACATCATTCATAACCATCAAAGATTTAAATAAATTACTCAGCATCACAGACCTATGGATAATGGCCATAGCACTTCCATTTTCCAACTTTCAAGAAAAAGAATGCGTTCTTACAAAGGTATAGAAGGCCCAGCTAGCTGGATCTTGTTTTCTAATATTAAACTATAATAACCTTACTGTCCTGCTCTTAGATCTCTTTTGACTTCATGTCTTCATGACTTCACTCATTCTTAGTGGTTAACAATCAGATGGGTCTATATATAGAAAACTTGGAAAATTTTCATCTGTCCAAACCATGTTCTGCCAACTTATTAAATCTTAGTCTCTCTCCTTCCTTTCCATTGTTTATCCCTTTTTGAATTTCTACTCCACTCTTATAACAACCAGATGCCAAGTGATACTTTATGGCAATTATTCCCCAGAGAAAGTATTCCTGGTCAACAGGAAGTAGGTATGGATTCTCTCACTTTTGCAGGATAACAAGTGGCTCTGAAATGATTCAAGAGTTCTCTTCTATCTTCATCAAAATTCATCAAAATTGCTTACAAAATACACAACAAGCTGATTCAAGTCCTAAGATTTTCTTTAATAAATATGAGGAGATAAGTTTATGGTTAAGAAATACAAGTGCAGGGGCACCTGGGTGGCTCAGTGGGTTAAGCATCTGCCTTCGGCTCAGGTCATGATCTCAGGGTCCTGGGATCGAGCCCCATATGGGGCTTTCTGCTCAGTGGGGAGTCTGCTTCCCCCTCTCTCTGCCTGCCTCTCTGCCTACTTGTAATCTCCATCTGTCAAATAAATAAATAAAATCTTTAAAAAAAAAAAAAAAAGAAATACAAGTGCATTTTTGATATGGAGGTATTAGGCACCTCTTATTTCCTCTCTGGTAAGTTCGGTTCTCTTATGGCCTGCTGCTCAAAGTACAAACTGGAACCTTTCTGAAAAAGTAGTTTGGTGTTAAATATCAAAATCTTTAAAAAAAAAAAAAAAGTCTACATCTTTGACTCAATAAGCAATTCTGCTTTTAAGACTTTTTCCCCCTGAGGAAATAATTAAGAGAGGTACACAAAGATTTGTACTCAAGACTAGTTATCATAGGGGCACCTGGGGTGGCTCAGTGGGTTAAAGCCTCTGCCTTTGGCTCAGGTCATGATCCCAGGGTCCTGGGATCAAGCTCCACGTTGGGCTCTCTGGTCGGCGGGGAGCCTGCTTCTCCCTCTCTCTCTGCTTGCCTCTCTGCCTACTTGTGATCTGTCTGTCAAATAAATAAATAAAATCTTTAAAAAAAAAAAAAAGAATAGTTATCATAGAGTTAAAATGAAGATCTATAATTCCAATCGAAGTAACTGAAAAATGACAAATATATTATGGAACCTCTATACAAAACAGTATTATTCAAGGGACAGCATGTGCAAGAAGAATATAGAAATATAGCACAGAGCATGGTTAGGGAATAACACACAATTCTGTGGCTGAAGATAGTACATGTGGAAAAAAAAAAAAAAATCAGTCAAGATTGAAAAAGGCTTTCTTTGCTGTGCCATGGTGAGCTGTTGGAAATTTGCCCTGAAGGTGATCATGAGCCAGTGGTAAGTAAATATGGTCACACATTTTTTGCAGTTGCTCCCATAAGATGTAGAGTCTAATTTACCACTACTTAAATCTACGCTGGCTTATCACTTGCTTGGACAACAGAATACAGCAGAAGTGAAACTGTACAAATTCTGGAGCCAGGACCTCGCAGCTTCTTCTACCACCTCCCTCTTGGAATACTGCCTTGAGATTCTGGAGTAAGGAAACTGATCTAGTCTACTGGAGGATGAAAGGCCATGTAGAGGAGAAATGAGACACCCCACCCAAAAACCAGGACCAACTGTCAGACACATATGCGGGACCATCTTGGACCTTCCAGCCCAGATAATCCTCTAGCCGAGGATCCTCATATTAGCGTGCTCAGGTGAAACCAGCACAGGAACCATCTGGGTAACTCCCAGAATCCTGAGAAATAATAAATCATTGTTGCTTTAAGCCTAAAGTCATGGGCAGGGTTGTTATTCAGTATAATTAACCAATAGGGAATATCATCTGCAATTTCAGATTTGTAACTTTAAATCTATAAATTTTAGAAAGAAATCTCCGTGGCAGGAATGTGGTGGATGGGGTTGGGGAAGGGATGACAGAGAAAGCAGTTAGGAGGCTACTACATGTACGAAGCTGAAGTATAGAATTTAATATATTTATATATTTTCAAAACTGTCTGAAAAAGAGAAGACAGATTTAAGAATCATGTAGGATGTCAAATTAATAGATCTCAGTAATCAATTTGATGTGAAACAGGAATCAGGAAGGCTCCAGGTTTCTAGCTTAAGTATTCACCGAGTTAGGGAATATAGGAATAGAATGTATCCCAAGTATCTAGAACAGTGCCTTGGCAGAGAGCAGGTGATAAATAAGTGTTTGTGTTAAATGAATTTATTCTCACAATGACACAATGAGTTAGGTACAGTGATTATTCCAATTTTACAGATGATGAAATAGAAAGGAATTAAGTAACTTGCTTAAAGTTACACAGCTAGTAATTGATAGACCAAGAACCCAAAGCTTAAGGTAAGTGTTTAGAGACTAGAGCAAGAAGTTGGGAGTTTCTGCTTGAATGGCCTCTATTTTCTCTAAGAAGTAAAGAGAAAAGATCAACTTTTAAAAATAAAAATCTTAAAAAAAAAAAAAGTCAAAGGTAGGGCTTATATATCTTAAGGTATTATGTAAAATGACCTATAAAAATGCATGGAAAGACTGATCTCAGGGGTTGGATCTGCCTGGAATCCCCCTATTTTTCATTGCTAGCACAGACTATGGCAACAAGTATCTGTCAAAAGCTTAATGATGTAACAAAAGTCTAGGGTTCTTTATCAGAGATTTAAATAGAAAATCAGGGAAAAAAAAATCTTAGTGCCCTTGCCAAATCTAATACTTAAGCGTCAAGTTCTTTACTGAGGGTAGAAAAAGATGTGAGAAAGGTAATTAAATGGTAAAAGTCAGGAAACTTTCTATTTAGGAACACTTGGTGATAATTTCATCACACAATCTTAACACAACAGACCGAGGTAAGTGCTTCATCCAACCAGTAATACAGTGACAGTATAAGGATATAATCTACTAAGTCAACAATTTACCTGACTATTGCACTTGGATGAGCCAGGTGATACAGAGCAGATGGCCCAAGACAACCCATTCCCAACATTATGAAGACACATGCACTTATGTAAAGATATGAAAGGGATGGGGGCAGGGCACACAAAAAAGAAAGTAAGAAAAGGATAGATTCAGGGAAAGCAAGGAGGGCTGGGCTAGAATGAAAAGGTTAACTCTTTTTACTTTGGTAAGTTTTTAATTACCTTTTTAAAAAGTTCTGAGTACGATATAAAACATTATTGTAGACAGTCTATTTTGAGATCATACTTACCAGCAGTTGTTTTCAGCAACTGATGTGGATGACTATACTTGAATGAAGGATAACCAAAGAAACACACATATTTTGGCTTCAAAACATGAACATTCGTACATGTCTGAAAGTAGCGAACACAAATCTAAAGATGAGAAAACAAAAAAGTAAAAGCTTCTGTGAATGTTCTTGATGGCTTATGTCTGTAAGTACATACTGAATTTCAAGTCTGTTCTAAAAGTAGAACAGTCATTATCACAATACAAACAGTATGAAATTATCCAGGCCAACATCTGAACTGGCCCAAACCTGGAATCAGTGAAAATAAAGTTTATTAAGACTGGTTATTTCTCAAGTATTTCTGTTCAAGAAATCAAAGGAACTTAAACCCTGTCACCCAGGAACATTATTTTGTTCTTTTACTTAGTAAAACTACATCCCTGGAGTCACATTTGTTTATATGCTTATGATCCTTGCTTAAAATTTCTTGTGAAAGTGAAGAAATTTTAACGATATATTTTGTACAAACACATGAGTTTGTAGGTACAGTTGCATCACTAAAGACTTCCCAAAATAAAACTACTAAAGAATTCAAAACTAACTGTTAGCATCTAAAGACATTGAAAACGTGTAGTGCTGTAGGGAAAGGTTTTCTTACTATAATTTACAGATGACTCTTTAGATATGACCATTTTGTATAACATCTCAGTATAATGCAAGACAATATACAAGAGAAACAAGTTGACCTTAATCTATTCAAATTGATATATTAGAACCTATGTGTCTGAAAGGTAGACTATTTTATTTTGAAAGTTAACATTTCAATGTTATTAACAGCAGGTTAACTATATCACACTTTTAAACATAATGTACAGAAATTTCTAACCCCATTACTGTATTTGAGAAGAGTGGTATATATTCGCAATTTTTTAAATTAATGTAGGAGTTACTTTTAATTAAAAAAATTACTTTATTATCATGTACTTTATCCTTTGGTGGTGATTAGCCCTTAAAATTTAAAAGTTATTTTATAATACATATTATGTTATATACTATAGCCACATTATAATATGTATTTATAAACAAGAATTTTGTTCTTTTTCTGACAGCAAATAATATAAAAACAAGTATTTGGTTTACCAATACAAATAATACATTTAAATTATTATGTGATATTTCACCTTAATTTCTAAGCTGTTACTGATTTCTGAAAGCAAAGAAAAACTAAAGATCTCTTTCCTAAAACACAAATAATCTTAAATCATGCATCTTAGTTTTACCTTAAGAGATAATTGTAAAGCAACTAATCTTTACAATATATATTTTATTTTTATTAACATTAACATTTGGGAAACATAAAACCTAAAGAAAACTGATAGCTTAAAACTTAACAGATAGTGGGGCGCCTGGGTGGCTCAGTGGGTTAAGCCTCTGCCTTCAGCTCAGGTCATGATCCCAGGGTCCTGGGATCGAGCCCCACATCGGGCTCTCTGCTCCGCAGGAAGCCTGCCTCCACCTCTCTCTCTGCCTGCCTCTCTGCCTACTTGTGATCTCTGTCTGTCAAATAAATAAATAAAATCTTTAAAAAAAAAAAAAAAAGTTAACAGATAGTGAAAGAATTCTCTTTCCCAAACCCCCATTTTCTGTGTCCTTTCTTTCTCCTTCAACTTCCACAATCCTGGCTCTTAGTCAACAACAGAATCAAAGGTGTAAATCAACCTCCACTTCATCAGACATTCATAAATTTTAATTTAGGGCAATAAATGGAAATTTTGAAGAATATGGATTCACCTTGATATAAAGAAATAGTTTTTTTAAAGACCTTGAGAGAAAATTAAATTACTAGGAAGTCCTACCTTAAACAATGGCAACTTTTATTGAAGAACGACTAATCAGGCAAGGGAGGCATGAACTAGCAAACATTTATTGAATGCCTACTAATGCTGGATACTTTAAAGGTCTTTAAATGCATCATCATCTTTTTAATCTCACAATTACCTTCTGAAATAATGGGCACATTAGCCCTCTTTAGCACATGAGAAACTAATGATCAAAGAGGTTAAATGCTTTGTCTAAGGTCACAAAGCAAACAAATAGCAAAATTCAGCTCTGAAACCAAGAAAATCTGACTCTGAAGCTGAGGTTCTTTCTTTCACATCACACTGTTACATGTAGGAGAAATAATCCCTGCTTTGAATTTATAACCTAGCAGAAACAAATAAACACACACACACACATTCATGCATGGATGTGTATGCTCTAGTTTTTTGTAGTAAGTATAGGCAGTAGGCATTAGAGGAACTTCAGCAGAGAGTTTTTTTGTGTTTTGATTTGTTTTTTTAAGGTTGGCTTGATCTGGGAAGGCTTCCAGGGGAAAAGTTGTGGTGGGCCTTGCATAGTAAGTATTAATTATTACAGAGCAGCAATGCACTTTTAAAGCAGAGGGAACAGAATAAACAAAGAACTGCTTCCGGAGCTTGTCTCCTCAGGCAGTGAGTTGCTTGATTTGGCTTCATCAAATTTATAAAAGGAAGTGTTGCAGGGCGCCTGGGTGGCTCAGTCATTAAGCATTTGCCTTCTGTTCAGGTTATGATCTCAGGGTCTTGGGATAGAGCCCCACAGGCTCCCTGCTCAGTGGGGAGTCTGTTTCTCCCTCCCCCTCTGCTGCCCCTCCTGCTTATGCTCTCTGCTCTGTCAAATGAAATTAAAAAAAAAAAAGGGGGGGGGGTGGGAGTGTTGGAAGTTGCTCAATGAGGACCGAATTATTGTTGAATATAACCATCAGGATAAGGAGTTCGAACTTCTACACTACAGATTATTGAAGAAAAAGGACTAAGAAATTAATATAGTTGCAGTTTATTGATTAGATTATAACAGGTAAAGCCAAGTAAGAGAGGAAAAAGTTAAAAAACTATTACAGTATTTGAGCCATGAACTACCAGGCTCCTGAAGTGATTTACAGTGGAAAAGGAGAAAGCAACATAAGTACAACAGGCATTATGTGACAGTGACTAATTGGACTAAGAGAAGGCTAGACTAATTAGTGAAGCTGCTGAATGGAAAGATAAAAAAGCAACAGAAGGGGAGCCTGGGTGGCTCAATGGGTTGAAGCCTCTGCCTTCAGCTTGGGTCACGATCCCCAGGTCCTGGGATGGAGCCCCACATCAGTCTCTCTGCTCAGCAGGGAGCTGGCCTCCCCCGCTCTCTCTGCCTCTCTGCCTACTTGTGATCTCGGTCTGTCAAATAAATAAAAAAATAAAATCTTAAAAAAAAAAAAAGCAACAGAAGGGAGAAGGAGAAAAAATAATTTGTCAAACTAAAAAGACATTTTTTCTAGAAACAGAATGCAAAAAATAGGAAATGAAACCAAGTTTTAGTAGATTCAAATAAGGAAATAAATAATAATTAAACAGGCAATTGTTGAGCATTCCTGAAGACAGGGATTATGCTGGGCTTGGGAATTCAAAGCTGAATAAACTACAGAATGTAGTCCCTAAATTCAAGTTGCTTACACTTCATTACAAGAAGACGGACAAAATAGAAAAGTTCAATGTTAATTCAATGGTAAGTTCATCAAGAGTCAAATGTCCAGTGCAATAAGGGAGAATAAAACCCAACATAGTAAGACCTTGTTAATGATCTACTACATGTATTAAGACCTCCTGTTATTTATACTTTACAACAGATGGAAAAAAATGGACTTTTTACTGAGTTGTTCAACAAACATTTATTGAGTATCTACTCTGTGCTAGGCACTGTGGATTAGAGAACAAAATAGATTAATTCCTTCTCTCATGGAATGTACAGTCCATACTTTCAAAGGAAGACAGTTAAAGAGTTGATGATGACATAGTGTTATAATGGGAGGAGCAGAGTATTAAAAACAAACACAAAGGAGGAAAACAATCTACTTCAAGAAAGCAAACTTGAAGTAAGACCTAAGGGCTGAGCACATGTAATCCAGGACATGAGGTGTTATTGCAGATGAGGACATAGGGAAAGAAAGCAAGAGTCTTTAAAGCAGAGGAAATACATGTGCAAAGGTCTGGAGTCTGAAGTCGAGAGAGGCAGTGTGTTTAATTAAATGAAGCTCAGTGTATTTCCAATGTAGTTCAGTGTGGGGCAAGGGTGAGGCAAGTGTCAGAGTGGGGGTTGAGGTGGGTAGGTTTCAGCAAGAAATGAAGCCTGAGAGATTTGGAAAGGTCCAGATCATAAATTGCCTCATAGTCTTTTAGATTTTGGACATTTTGCTTGAGGCAATTTTAAGCAAGGAAATGACATTCTCAAATGTATCTTACTTTGTAAGATCACCCTGGTTACACTATGGAGAATGGGTTGGAGAGGCACCGATTGGAGGCAGAAAGTCCAATTAGGAAGGACCAGGAAAGCTGCAGTTGGGGTCAAGGTGGAGGATAATGACTAAATTCTGGAGTTGTATAGGCTAGAATCAAAAGAGATCTAAGGGTTTAACTCTGGAAACTAGAATCCAATGTGTCTCTGAGGCATTAGGGTAGATGCTGTGAGATAACTAAATGCTAACTCCTTCAAGACCCCCTGGGCTAGCGGTGGCCATGTAACAGTCCTGGCCAAAGTGTGGCTGGTACCACCCCCTCCCCCTTCCTCCCTCGAATATGAAGTTGTAGTGGCCCTCTTGTAACCATAAGGGAAAGGCCGCATGAATTGTTGAAATGACAACCCTGATAAGTATGAGCCACTTAACCAATGCCAGCTGCCATCTAGCTATGGGATGCATAGTTAGTTTATTTCCCATTTATTGGCTGGGTTTTTATTACTTGCAGCTGAAAAATACCTACTATGTATGCAACTGGAGATCTCCAGGACAGCAGGATATATGTGGGTCTGGAGTAGAGCTGGCTTGAAGACTGGAACTTTAGGAATTATCAGCATACAGATAGCAACTAAATTGAAAGAAGTGGCTGAAGTAGTTTGGGAAGTGCAGAGTGCCAAAGTCCTAGCCCTTATAAACACCAATACATATTTAAAAGTCAGGCAGGAAAACAGGAGATTGGGCTGGAGTGGCCAAACATCTAGGAAGAAGAATAGTGGGAAGTGGTGTCACAGAAGCCAAGCAAGGAGAACTTTCAAGAGAGGCCAATACCTACCACGGTGCAAATCTCAAGTTACACAGTATCCCTTGAGAACTCCTCTCTGACCCCCCAATACCCCTCCTACGGGTTCCTGTAACTCTATAATGTCCCATTTAGCACTTCTCAAGCTGTCCTAATTCTTTGTACCTTTTTCTCCCCTGCCTTCCACCCCAAGGCTGTAATTAATCTGAGACGGCAGGGTTCTCTCTCTCACATTTGCTTCCAGAGTGCCTAGCACAGGACCTAGTACACAGCAGGCTCTTGACAGATTTTCTAAGCTCAGGGGTCGACCACTGTAAGACCTTAGGAAAGAGGGATCCCAGAAGGAAAAACGCTATGCAAATAGGACGAAACACTATGATTACTGGGATGTCAGGTGATTGGTGCTAAAGGGTTGTTCAAAGGGAAAAACTTCAGGGGAGATGGAGGTAGGTCGCAGCTATGGTGATAAAAAGTTGGAAAGAGGGGCGCCTGGGTGGCTCAGTGGTTAAAGCCTCTGCCTTCAGCTCAGGTCATGATCCCAGGGTCCTGGGATCGAGCCTCACGTCGGGCTCTCTGTTCAGCGGGGAGCCTGCCTCCTCCTCCTCTCTCTCTCTCTGCCTGCCTCTCTGCCTACTTGTGATCTGTCTGTCAAATAAATAAAAAAATCTTAAAAAAAAAAAAAGTTGTAAAGATATGTGGCACAGACACGGGAGAGGAACACAGGTCCACAGAATGAAGCCTGAGTTTTCCTGCTCCTCGGAGGCAAGGACCCGTGCTGTTACGGTTTGCTTTACGGGTCTCTTCCTCTAGACTGTAAGTTCTTCGAGTTTCTCTAGACTGCAAGTTCTCCGAGGCAGGGGTCGTGTGGTCAGTGTTTGGCACACAGTGGGTGCTCAATAAATGCTGAATGAATATATATCTCCATACCCCTAGCACTTATCACAATGCCCAGCACCTAGATGGTGCCCAATGAAAGGCTATCGGGTGAAAGGCTAGATGGCACTGGGTGTAGATAAAGCTGGAAGGAGACGGAGTTGCGACAGAAACACGGCCAGGTAAGGAGGGAGTGGGTCTCTGGACCGGTCCGCTCGCCACCTTCTCTGCCCTTCGTGTAGCATACATCCTTCCACTTCTCCATCACACGTGCCCCGACCGCCTGGCTCTCGGACGACAAAGTAACACACCTCCCAGCGAACACCGGCGACAAATCATTCCTTCCCGACCTCAAATCAGCCCCAAACCGCTTACCAGCCGCCCAGCATTCTGGCTCCAGGTCCTCAGCACACGCACTGCAGCCATCTTACCCGGAAATGACAAATGCTCGGTGGTTGTGAAGAGTTGTTTCGCACTGCCGACCTATGGGGAGCCGGGAAACGCACCTCCCCCTGAGCGGCCAATGGCGAGGGCCGGAACGAGCCTCCCACCCCACAGCCAACCAGCGGGCGGGGCGGGGCCTGAGGGAAACACGAAGGGGCGGAGAGTCCTGCGCAGAGGTAAGAGAGCACGCTGGAGGGGAAGAGCGGGGTGGAGGCAGCTCAACGTGAGTTTCGGGGACAAAGTTGGGCAGGCCATGGCTGTGTCCACCAACGATCATCTTTTTCATACGTGTAGTAGAAATGGAGACTGTTAAGGGAACAAAAAGGAAGACTATTACTTGGAGAGAGTTATGGTGAAGACCTGATGAGTAGGAAAATACCCCCTTTCAGCTTGGATCTTACCCGCCTTGATTACAGAAAATGCGACATTTCCAAACTTTGCAGCAAGGCTCTGTACCACTAATCGAGTCACAAATCTATGCTGGAATCCTACCCAGTGACTGGTATTCTTTACTCCCATTGAGGGTTCTTGGTGACCGAAATTGCCTTTTCAATTTTTTTGTCCTACAGAAGATAAAGGTTACCCTAACGTCTGAAATAAAGATACCAACATTATCTTTTCTTCTTAGAGAATGTTGTCAGATGCAGCTGCCCAGCGTATACAATATATATCACAGACATATATAAACTTGATTTACTTGGCTCTTGGAGAATGTCAAATTCAGGTCAAGGTGATTGGGGGGGAAATATGAGATCAGAGTTTGTTAACAGTCAATCTTTCTCAGAGCAACTAGGATAACAATTACTGGAAACTTCCAGGATGACATTTGCATGGTTTTTGCCCTCTAGATGAGAAATAAAATCTGTACAGATGTCTAAAGAATTAAAGCCCAAAATATGGGAACAAAGACATTTTAAATCCTCAATAATCAAGGTTAGTGACTGGAACAAATTCTCAGTTATTTCACAAATTTGCTAATATTACCCAAACTCACACTTTTTTTTTGCTTTTCAGTATATTTCACATACAAACTATTGTAAGCAATACATTCGAATCATTACTTTTATTTTATTTTTTTTTTTAAAGATTTCATTCATTCACTTGACAGAGATCACAAGTAGGCAGAGAGGCAGACAGAGAGAGAGGAAGGGAAGCAGGCTCCCTGCTGATCAGAGAGCCAGATGTGGGGCTTGATCCCAGGACCTTGAGATCCTGACCGGAGCCAAAGGCAGAGGCTTTAAAGTATTGAGCCACCCAGGTGCCCCGAATCATTACTTTTAGAACAATATCTGAAAAGTCAGAAGAACTTTAATTTTTTTAACTTTCCAATTAACAAAAGATTTTATAAGCACTGTTTATTTGATATTCCCAGTTGTGTGTGTGTGTTTTAAAAAGAAGATGTGGGCGGGGGGGTGGGGGGACGCCTGGGTGGCTTAGTGGGTTAAAGCCTCTGCCTTCAGCTCCGGTCATGATCTCAGGGTCCTGGGATCAAGCCCCTCATCGGGCTCTCTGCTCGGCGAGGAGCCTGTGTCCCCCTCTCTCTGCCTGCCTCTCTGCCTACTTGTGATCTCGCTCTCTGTTAAATAAATAAAAAATCTTAAAAAAAAAAATAAATAAAATAAATAAATAAATAGAAGATGTAATAGCTGTGACTTTGAAGTGAATTATTTTCTTCCCAGGGCCCGTATACCACCTTCTTCCTCTTAACTTTCCCTTTATTTATTTTTTTAAGGATTTTATTTATTTATTTGACAGAGACACAGTGAGAGAGGGAATACAAGCAGGGGGAGTGGGAGAGGGAGAAGGAGGCTTCCCTCTGAGCAGGGAGCCGGATGTAGGGCTTGACCCCAGGACTCTGGGATCATGACCGGAGTCGAAGGCAGACGCTTAACAACTGAGCCACCCAGGTGCCCCAACATCTCCTTTTCTAATCAAACATTTGGGGTCATAAATTTCTCTCATGGCACAGCTTTAAGCTGCAGCCCATCATTTTGGTGTGTTGTGTTTTCATGACCTGAGCTGAAAGCAGACACTTAACGACTGAGCCACCCAAGCACCCCTTAACTTTCCCTTTAATTCTACCTTCTTCCAAGAAAATACTTGGTTATTCTTTTCTTTTACCCTCTTTTGACCTCAATGGATTGAGTCCACATTCAGTATTGTGTGTGTCCTTATCTTTCACCATCAACTGTTATGCCACCTACATACTAGTTAATCCATTTGCTTGAGTTCAAAAGAACCAAAGAACCATTTTTCCCTTTTCCTAATTAATAAATAACTGATTATGACCCATCAGTTCCACTGCTAGGTATCTACCCAAGAGAAATGAAAACATATGTCCACACAAAGACCAGTACAAGAATAATGGTAATAGCATTGTTTTTAATAGCCCCAAACTAGAAACAGTCCAAATACTCTTCAACAGGTGAACAGATGAACAAAATGTGGTATATTCACATAATAAAATATTATTTATCCTTAAAAATGACTGAAACACTTGTACATCTGTGACATGGATGAACCTCAAGAATATTATGGGAAGTAAAGGAAGCCAGATCTGAAAGGTCATACATTGCATGATTCTATCTATATGAAATGTCCAAAGAAAATCTATAGAGACAGAGCAGATTAGTGGTTGCGTGGGCCTGAGAATAGGAGTGGGAAATGGCAAATGACTGGGAATGAGAAAAAGCTTTTTATGGTAATGGAAATTTCCTATTACCAGATTGTGGTGATGGTTGCAGAACTATAAAATGTACTAAAAATCATTGAATTATACACTTAAAACAAGTGAATTTTATGGTATATAGCTCAATGAAGCTGTTAAAATTTGTTACATCGTATATTTACAAAGAATAATGTAACATATCAGTAAGTTGCACATAGTAACAAAAACCTGGAGCCCATAACCCAATTTAAGAAATAAAAGCGTTCCTATTCTGGTGAAGGTCACACTGTCTCCTCCTCCTCTTAACCCTTCCTCTCACTGGAGGTAAATTATCCTGCATGTGTGTACAGCATAACTTTGTTTCCATATGTTACATATGAATCTCCAACAATATCTTGCTTAGCTTTGCTTATTTTTGAGTTTCATAAAAATGTCATCAAATTGCATCTTTCTGCAACTAGCTTTTATGACTGTACCACAATTTACTTATCCATTCTCTGTGCAGTGAACATTTGTGGTGTTTCCAGTTCTTTTCTATTGCTATTACAACTTTTACCACTACTGCTGCTACATACATTCTTTTCTCCTGGTACATGTGCAAGAGTTTCTTTAGGGCAGTGCTTCTCAGATTTAATGAACATTCATATCATCTGGGGATCTTGTCAAAATGCAGATTCCCATTCACTAGATCTGGATGAGGCCCGAAATTCTGCATTCCTAACAAGCTGTAGGTGATACAGTTGCTATTGGTTAGCCAATTACACTTTGATTAGTGAGACAAGGATATATGCTTAAAAATAGAATTGAGGGGCACATGGCAGGCTCAGGTGGTGGAGCTCTTGATCTCAGGGTTGTGAGTTCAAGCCCTACGTTGAAGGGAGAGATTACTAAAACAAACAAACTTAAAAAAATAGAATTGTGGAGACTTGGATTATACTTACCACCCCCCCTTTTTTTAATTTTGAGAGAGAGCACAAACAGGGAGAGGAGAGAGGAAATCTTAAGCAAGCTCCATGTTCAGCACCTACCCGAACACAGGGCTGGATCTCACAACCCTGAGATCATGACCTGAGCCAAACTGAAGATTGGCTGCTTAACCAACTGAGCCACCAAGGCACCCCAAGATTATACCTACCTTTAACTTTACCCAAGATAGTGCTATATTGTTTCCCAACATGATCATGCAAAATACACGGAAGCTGTTAAGAGATTACCCATTGTTTCTGATTTGATATTGTCACACTAAAACCAAATTAATATTTTTCCCAACATAGTAGTTGTAAAATGGTATCATATTCTTAATTTGAATTTCCTGTTAATAAGGTCAACACATTTTCATATATTTATCAATCATTCTTAAAATGCCTGCTCATGTTTTTAGCCTTTTTTTTCCCCACTATCGTGTGTATGTCTTTCTCTAGATGATTTGTGTGGGAGTTCTTTATATATTTTAGATTGTAATGTTTTTTCATTTATTTGTGTTTTTGGTATCTTTTTCCTTGTCTTTGCTCTTTTATAAGAGTCTTTGGTGTACAGAGTTTCTCCTTTTAACATGGTTGAATGTATCTGTTTGTTTGTTGGTTTTTTCCTGTATGGTTAGTGCTTTTTCTGTCTTAAGAAATACTTCCCAATTGGAGTAGCTGGGTGGCTCAGTCAGTTAAACCTCCAACTCTTGATTTGAGCTCATAATCTCAGGGTCCTGGGATTGAGCCCCATGTCAGGCTTTGCACTCAGCATGAAGTCTACTTGTCCTTCCTCTGCTACAACACCACTCACTCTTTCAAATGAATAAATAAATAAAATCTTTAAAAGAAAAAAAAATGCTTCCTTATCCAAAGTTCTGAAGACAATCTGCTATATATTTCCTTCACATTTAAGTCATTGTTGGTTTTGTAATTTTAAAATTGAAATATCATTCACATACCATGAAACTCGCCCCTTTAAAGTATATAATTAAATGATTTTTAGTATATTCATAAACTTGTGTAACCATTACCACTATCTAATTTCAGAACATTTTCATCACCACCATGTGAAACTACATACCCATTAACAATAAATTCCCATTCTGGAATTCCACCCACCCCCTCCCCAAGCTCCTGACAACTACTAATCTATTTCCTTTCTCCACAAATTTGCTTATTCAGTCATTTCATTTCATATAAATGTAACCATACAATATGTGTTCTTTTATGAGTGGCTTCTTTAATTTAGCATAATGTTCTTGAGGTTCATCTATATTACACATTTATCAGTATTTTATTCCTTTTAATAGCTCAATAATATTTCATCGTAAGATATAGTACATTTTTGTTTATCCACTCATCAGTTGATAGACATTTGGGTTGTTTCTGTTTTGGAACTACTGTGAATAATAATGCTATGAACATTCTTGTACAAGTTTTTTTTTCTACTTTT